GTCCCCCATATCCAATTACCGCCTCTATAACCTTGAATTTCACCGTATTAACTCTCATTCCGGTATTCCTACCATACATCGAATCACCTACTCACCCTCCTTAACTCCTCCTTACTCCGTAGCAAAACAGTAGTATCAATCCACATACCCAACGATGCCCCCTTTGCACCCCTCTTCCATCTCCTTTTGTCCATCACTCTCAACAGACTCATAAAAAGGGATTCTGCCACACGCAAAGAGCAGCTGTGACATCGGACAGCCCCGCCTCAAACCTCTCTCCATCGGTACACTTTCACCAACCTCCCATTGACCTGTACCCTCACCTCTGCCTCAGCATACAGGGTGTTCACCCACCTCACTACCCCCTCCCGAAACCCCAACCTCTCTAAGCAAACCCCTAAGAAATCTCTGTCCACGCAATCATATGCATTCACCCAATCTAAACCTAGTATTCCCCCCTCCCGTACATCTCTCTAGAAAATCCCTAATCAAACCATGTCCATCCCTCATCCTTCTTCCTGGAATTCCCAACTGCCCCCTATGTAACACTAAACCCAACACTTTCCTCATTCTGTTGCCCAAAACCTTAGCAAAAAACTTGTAATCCGAGCACATTAACGTAATCGCACGGTAATCATTCAATACTCGGCATTCCTTCTTTTTGGGCACTAAAACCGTGACACCCGTTCTTTGCGATTTCCCCATCCTCCCACTACTTAACATACAATTTAAAACCCCCACCAGACAATGCCGTACACTCCCCCAATGACACCTATAAAAATCGTTTGGTATGCCGTCTATGCCTGGGGTTTTACCCTGGCACATCCCAAAAACTGCCTCCTCCACCTCCTCTACACTAATATTACCCTCGAGTCTGTCACTGTCCTGCTCACTTAATACCCTATTAAACCCTTCATCCCCAAAATGTCCCTCACCCACTTCCCCGCCAACCCTCCTCCACTTCTCCCTAAACCAAAAATCTGCATACAAACTAATATTTTCCGTGGTGAATAGGCCTTGACCCTCCTCAAAGCCACCCCCCCCTTGTACCTGCCTCAATATACACCAAGGTGGTTTTCGCCTGCCGTTCCTTAAACCTCCTTAATACAAAACCTGATGGCCTATCTCCCCTTAAAACATCCTCCAACCCCGCCCTAACTCGAATTGCCTCAAATTTTTCATTGTGAATTTCAGCCAACCTATTTCGCAAACGTTCCATGTCCTCACTCCGCCCCACCCATTCCTCTGCATAACAGTCATTTAACTGACCCTCAAGATAATTTTGTAGACCATAGCTCCACCTCGCCATCTCCTTACCCCGTACTTTAAAAATTTTAGCGATTTCAACTTTAGCCCTCATTTCCCACCAATCCAGCAAATCCATATCCATATTCCTAGTCTCCCAAAAGGCTTTCCACCAATCTTCAAAACCTGTAGGGTCACCCTCGTCCCTAAGTAGCTTCACATTTAATTTCCAGTATCCTGCATAAACTCTCACTATGCCATCTACCCTCAAATCTGCTATAACAGCACGATGATCAGAAAAACCCACATCGATAGTCCTCACCCTCGCCACACCTATGCCCTGCCTAACATAAATCCTATCTAACCGTGCCTCATATCCCCTACGGATAAAAGTGTGCTCCACTCCATATCCCCTACTTCCCACCACATCTACCACTCCAACATCTCTCAAAACATCCCGCAGAACCCCCAAAACACAACCCGCCCCCCTCGAAACCACATCACCATTCCTAATGACAATTCCAATCCCCACCATCACCGTAAAAGCAGGTAAACCTCTCGATGATATACCAGAACATCGCGTACAAAATCCACCTTCATTCTAGCGTTACTAGTTGCTGGCATGTACACACCTACAAAACTAACCCTCCTGGCCCCCCAAAACCCATCCACCCTGACAACCCTCCCACCCCCTCCTCCCAACCCAGGATACGCAAAGGACTGGTCTCCTTGACCGCCACAGCCACACCTCCTTTCAACCTCAAAGCATCACATGTAAACAACCTATAACCTTTCAACAACTCACATCCTAACCTATGGTCATGTTCCTGCAAAAAACAGACATCAATACTAAATCTCCTCAAAACCCACTCTAACCTTACCCTCTTGACCTCGGTTTTAAGACCGTTTACATTGAAAGTTACACACCTGAATTTTACAAGAATGGCGGCTTACCCCTGTGCCGCTGAGGCTTACTTGGTCCTCCTTTTATAGGTCTTGGTCCTTCTCTATCAATCCCTCGTTCTTGCACTCCAACTCCTCCCTGTCCCTTCCCGCCTAGCTTCCCATTGCCCCCCCCCTCCTCCGGACTTGCCGTTGCTACCACAGCTGCCCACATCTTCCCAGGCCTCTGCGCTGGTGTGATGACTTCGTCCATGTCTGATGCCCCCGCTGATCTCTTGCGGGAGCTACCCTCTACACACATATCTTCTGCAACCACATCTTCTTGATGGACCTCCACCACCACATTGCTCTCCTTTCGAACCTCACTCAAGTCTTCCTTACCCCGCTTCTGTTCATCCATCACCTTGACATCACCTGACCTCACATCACTTTCCTCACCATGCTCCGACTCTTCCAAAAAATCCTTCAGCACAGCCTCCAAAATCCCTTCCTGAGCTGAAATCTGTAGTACTAACGGTCTGTCTGACAGCGAATATTCCCTCCCCCCCCCCCCCCCCGTTTCCACTGGCAGTGTTACACACGTCTCCAAAACCACCTCTGCTCTGTCGACCTCCTCACTCCATAGGCCTGTACTCCGTCTTTCCACTTCACCCGTCATAACGTCCGAGGCTTCTAATGGCGTATCCACAGAAGCTGTCTCCTGATGCCTAGGGCCCTGTCTCCTGGGGCATTGTGCCACCATGTGCTCATAAGAGTCACATAAACGGCACGTCTTCCTCTGCCCCACATAGTGTACAAAAACCTGTGTTCTATGGCTATGCAATGTGACATATGATGGTATCGGCCTCCTCAGGGTCATTTTCAGTGTGAAGGATCCTTCCGGCATCCCCTCGTAAGGGCCGTCCCTCCACATTCCCATGCTCGCCGAGTGAACAGTCCCATAACCACTGAACACATCTTGTAGGTTGTATGCTGTTGCCTCAAAAGGTACATTCCTTACCTTCACCCAAGTAAAATACTTAGACACATCATGCAAGCATACTTCCACTGCCGAATTGATAATCATCCTCCTTTCTTGAAATTCGTCGACGATGGTAGAGTAGAAGTCAGCTCTCATGAACTTCACGAAGACCCTTGACATACCATTCAGTGCCACACCATACAGCTCTTCATTGGGGATGCCATAACAGTCCCTGATAATGCTTGGCAGGAGAACGTTCATCGTGGCGTGCTATAATGATCCTCTAACCAGCTCAATGCAGACAGTATTTATGCGCCGGTTCATTCGGTCCGCCATCTTGGTGCTAATGCTATGTTTTCCTCACAGGTGGCGTGCATGAAGAATTGTTAGAAAGCGTCCTTACTCTTCCCCCCGCGGTCGAGTGAACGAATGGATACGAACAATTAATGAACGGATAAGGCCTGGTTTGCCTTTTTTATGTGCTGTGATGTACTTTTTAAAAATAAAATATAAAAAAAAAAAAAAAAAAAAAAAAAAATAAAAAAAAAAAAAAATTGTTACTTTGTTTTAAATTAAAAAATTACAAAAACTCCTAACTACAGTTTGTCATTCGCGACCTAGCTGCCAGGGTGTGTTGGACGTGCCTCCATTTACCTCTCTGCCTGACGGTCTAGGCAAGCTACGTGGGACGGTCCATGGTATTCAGCGTGAGGGAGGCGGGGTGAATACGGTTGGTATACAGTTGTCGGGGGGCGATTACGCCTGAGGAATGAGACAGTTTTGCTACCTAAGATTATCCGTGAAACTTATGTTATTGCGGAAACAGGATTTGTACGGGTGTGGCATTAAATGGCGCATTTTACCGGTATTTGTAATAACTACTCTACGAAGCCAGTGTACGAAGCAGTGGGTTGAGCAGTTTCCAGGATTTCTGCGTAGATGTGTCCCCTGAACGTGCATGTTGCGTTATGGTGATGTCTCTCGGGGTACAATACGTTGGGTGAAACTGCGCAATGTGCCTTCGAGGCCGATGGACAACAGATTCCGCCAGTGTTTTTCAGAAAGATACGGAGTGATACAATGGCTAAAATCAAAGGGCCAAGCGGGTGGCTGGGGCGTATTGTTTGGTCTCCCAGAACGGTTCTTTACCATCAAGTGTCTCTACGGCCAGGGCCATACCATCGTATGTGTACCCTTGATGATTCCGGACACGGGGGCCATGGTGTTCTTATTGCCTGGTCAACGACGGACGTGTCGCCTCTGCGGTAATATGATCATATGCAGCAGGTGTGGGGCAGCGGGGCAGGGCCAGAAGGGCCAAGGCCGGGTGGATCATCGAAAGACGATGGGCAGGAGGCTCCATACGTGGACGAAAAGGGAGATGGTGGCCACGGTCGGGCTTTGGAGTGAAGGAGATTTAGGAAAGCAGTGGTGGTGTCGAAATCTGGAAAGCTGTCGTCTCTCGAGTCACACTGCAATCGCCGGTGGTACAGCAGGCTTCCGGGGGAAGATTCTGGTGACGGTGGAAGTGGAGGGGACTTGGATGCGGACAATTAGCGTCTGGTTTTGATTACCATGTTCTCATCTAGAGGTGGGTCTCCCCGGCCTGTGACGACGCCAGTCCGAGATCGGGTCTGTGGCGGGTCGAAGCAGCAGCAGAAGGAGGTTGTTGGTGCTGGGTGGGGCTTGGGCGGGGGACGTGGGTGACCCTCGTCAGAAGGGTCAGAGACGAAGGTGGTGGTGGAGGTAACATCGGTGACGATCCGGTCACAAACATGGGAGGAGGATTGATGGGTCCGAGGAAGAGGGCTGCAAGGAATTTCGTCGGGGACCTCTGTGACGGAGTCCTGGACGCCGGCTCAACGAAACAGGGAAGATTAAGCATCGGTAGATGGGGGAGGGTCGGTGTGCTAGTGGAAGGTGTGCAGCGACCGCTGTGCGTGCCAGGTGGGGGCACGGGTGTCGTCGTTGGAGTGCATCGGGCAAAACGTGGCCCCCAGGGGACCCAAGTGGGCATGCAAAAGTACAAGTGGGGCAGCGGGGAGGGGAACTTAGCCAGGTGTTGAGGGGGGAGGGGCATGTGCCCAGTGTTAGGCATGAAGTGGCTTGATATTTGGCTGTTTTCAGGGGGGAATTGTGTCCTAGCAAATTGTGGAATGTTGAGTAGTGTTAGGTTTTGGTTAGACTCGGTGTTAGCTGCCTTGCGACTGTTTTTTTTTTTGTGCGGCCTAAGGTTTTTTTTATATATTTTTATTTTATAAACAATAGGACAAGTACATAATTGTATAAGAGTATAAATTTAAAAAACCCACACTAGATTTTTACAAAAAACCTTAGTACCACAAATCCTGGTTACATTTTAAGAACACCATAGATAATGGCCATGTTACCACCCATATACATAAAACCCCACAACCTATACATAAAAACCCATATACATAACCCCACAACCATATTACATAAAAACCGTATACATAATCACAAACCATATACATAAAACCCACAAACCATATACATAACCTTACAAACCCTTTCCTTTACAATCAATTATTGCCAGTGCAGACACAGCTGACACTCACACCCCCCCCCCCCGTATGTTACAAGTCGCCGTTCTAACTTAACTACAATTAATTATCCTAATTGAATGGGTCATACGCTTGACCTCTTCAAAAAACTTAATGAGTGTTTACACTAAGAGTTTGTTAGTGCAAGAACAAGGACAACATAAATTTTACAGGACTAAAACAGTTATGAAACATTACACTCCTATACACATTACCACGTATAAGTAGAAGGAATATTACACCACCAAATATATATAAATATTAATGTTAACATTGAATTATAAACTTTCTAAAACAATGATATCGTGAAGGTTCACATCTCAAAAATGCAAGATATTACACCTTCATCCAAAACATGTCGGTTTACAATACCTAGGCTATGTACACATTTTAAAGAAAAACCCAAGGATTACAACATCGAAAAAGTATATCCAAATGGGTCTATTATGATTTTTAGTAAAAGTTACCCAACCACTAAACTCCTTATAACATCTATCAAGCCACATTTAAATTAACAAAATAACGTGTCCCACAAATTTCCACAAGACTTCATTTTATGGAAGTAATTCAAGATCTTTCTGTGCCAACACAAACGTCCACAACCTACCACACACAAGACGTTACGGAAAAACCATTCTTAATACATACACGTCCACTACCTAAAACCCCGCGCTCTACCCTAATGGTTCTCTAACATACCGTTTGGTGCTAATCACGGGGGGGAGTTCCAGCCCCCTGTTGCCTTACCCCACCCCGCAGTTGCAGCAAACATTTGAACAGTAAAGACATCGATACTTTTTGGCCGGAAAAACTATTTATCCCAACTTTCTACCCTATACAGTTTATTTCTGCATACGTCTTGTAGATCCTGCCGCAATTGCCCTGATCCTATGATCCCCGGTTTCCGGCATTTACCCACGAGATAATAGAGGAAATCAGCCACCACGTACATTATTGCTCTTCGTACATCACTTGATACTCGTAAAACTTCCAATGTTAAGGCCGGTAAGGGTTGGGAAATACTTCCCCCACTAATGGGAAAAAATCTAAAAACCCGCCCCTACCACGAAAAACGAACTTTGTCCAAAAGGTATCACAAAAAGTAGGGACAGGCATGGAAAAGCTGTTTTTCTTCAAGACCGCAACGCAAGCAATCCGCCTTCCATTACCCAAAACCCATCCTATTTTAAGGGACCGATTTTGATGCTAAAATCCCATGACAAATCTGTACACCAATTCACGAACCCTTGGTGCCAACTTAAGTTTACAAAATCCTTTCCCTTATTTTCCCCCCAATTATACAGCGGAAAAAACAGGACAATCCTGTACAAATTTTCCTACGACAACATATGCTGGAACATTCGCCCCAACCTGGGATCCGTTTCGCATTTCTCAACTTTAAAACAACCAAACGGCAGGCATGTCCTCTACTTTATTAATCCCCTGCCGCTCCACCATTTAGCAATTTCGATCATTAACCCGGGAACCCACCCGGATGCCTTCTCAACCGCCCGCCCTAAGGAACCGCTGCTTAAATAGAGGGGCCTTCACCCGTGGCCCCAATGGCCAAGAGGACCTTAACCCCCACGGCGGAAACATGGGTCATGACAACCTCCGACTTAACCAAGCCCTCCCGAAAAACCCCAAACTAAACGGTAAAGGACCCTTCCTGCGTATCCTGAATATCCGTATCTCTTAAGGGTACCCGCGGGCCACACCCCCATACTTTACTATTAAAACAAGTGTATTAACCCACTCTGTCTCTGTTGCATCGGAGGGGACATCCCCAGCTCTTAAAAAAACCACCGAAGTCGATCTAAAGCCTTGGTTAAACCACCAATTCAGAGTTTACCCTTCGGCTCTCCCTCTTATCTGCCATGTTTACTCGGATGGCCCCACATATTCTAAGTTGCAACCCACGGGACTGACCACCCATACCTTTCGCCCAACCTCCCCCCACCATGTACCCACCTCCATTAATTTCGTTTTGCCTTTAACGCACCATGGGCCTGGACTCTGCCCCCAAAAAATCAACAATCCATTTCCCCACGATCTTGCAAACCTCCCTCCCTTTTACTGTATTGTGGTATCATCTACGTACCCGAACCACCACGCGCTGCATGGGTCCATGCTTCGCGGTTCCAACGCCCAAAACCACATCCACAGATCATAAAATTGGGTTTTTGCCATACAAGCAAAAAAAAGCAGCCTGGGAGAGGGGGCACCCTTGCTCAATCCCCTTTCCATACGGACGGCTGAGCCCAATTTACGTTTACTGTTGGTCCATGCCGTGGCATAAAGGTATTCCACCCATTCTTGCATTCCCTCTCCAAAACCTTGCTTCAATAAATGAGCCTCAATAAATCCCTATCAACACCAGTTTCATAGGGCATTTTGCCAGTCAGCCGTGGGACACCCCCCCCTTGACATTCCTCCAAAAATCTCCCTAATACGTACATGTCCGTCCCTTCATGCTCCTACCTGGTATGCCTAGCTAGTCATCGTGGCTATAAAAACGAACCCCCATTAACCTTTCCATTTGTTTCCTAAAACTTTTGCAAGATTTTATAGTCAGAGCACATAGAAGATATTGCTCCTATATGCCAACTCAGGAACCCCTCCCCCCTCCCTTTTTTTGGGCCCAACCACAAACTACCCCCTTAACTTTGTGCATAACCTAACCTCCCCTCCGTGAGACATGCAAATTTATTTACATCAACCAAAACAATTGTTAATACTTCCCAATGGCCCTATAAAAATATTCGAAATTGGCCATCTATTCCTGGTGCCTTTTCCTTTACTATATTAAAAAAATCGCTCCTGCTACCTCCTCTCTCGGAATTGCTCTTCTAGTTAACCGTTCTACCCTGTCAACTTATAAATTTTCTGAAAATTCCCTCCTCCACCAGGCCGCCCTCATGGACCCCCCCTTACTTCCCCCCCGTAAGCTTTTCCCCAAACCATATGATCAGCATAAAAAAAAACTCATGCTGTTCCGTGGTGAGGGTACTTGACCCGGGCCAGGTAACCACCCAAAACCCGTGCATACTTTTTCCAATTTGCAAGGAGGGTCGTCGGCCTGTTGGCCTGACCCTTAAAAATTGCGCAAGGGACACACCCGAAAGGGTTTGTCACCCCATAGCACTTCTTCCACCTGCTTTCTGACGCTACCGCATTGAAAACGTTTCATTGGTGGATTTCAGCAAGTCGGCTCCGTGATGTTCACATGTCGTAATTTACCACTATACTCCCGCCCCCACATAGTAATTAATTTAAGCTGCCCCTCTCCAGATAGTTTTGCAGCCCTTACCTCCACCTCGGCCTCCTCTTTTTCCCGCTTCTTATAAATAACTCGCTATTCCAGGTTTGGCAACAAGTTTTCCCACCATTCCAACAAAAATTACCTTGCCCAGTGCGTTTCCCAAAATATCCTTCACCTTACTGAAAAAAGTGGACCCATCCCCCTCCCCCTCCAATAGGCCGCACGTTTCAGTTTCCATATCCTGGGATAAAACCTGAAAATCCATTTTCCCAGCCCAGTTCAAGTCCGCTAGCATTCTGGCCACGGTGATCTGAAATAACCCCAAATCCCAAAGGTTGTCGTGCACAATCCTCTAATTCCATTGTGTTACATTAAAGTCTATCCAGACGGGCCGCATAGCCCCCTAACGAAACGACGTTTGCTTCCACCCCCCACCCACCCCGCCCCCACCACATCTTAAACCCCTGCATCCCCCGCAGATTCCGTAGGACAGGTAAAAACGCACCCGGCCCCCCGCGGCTCAAAACATCCGCCATGGTCGGATAACGCAATTCCAATCCCCACCCATGGACGGTAGAACGGCAAACCCCGAGTGTTTAAAAACGTTAAAAAGACTTCCTTACAAAAGTTCTACTTTAAACTTTAGTGTTGCTGTCCGGCTGGCATGGTAAAAAATCGCCAATAAAACAAAACCCTCACCTCACCCAAGGTACCCAATCTACCCTCACCTACCCTTCCCCACTCTTCCCCCTCCTCCCAACTTAAGACCACGCAAGGGCTGGACTCCTTCCACCGTAATAGCTACCACCTTTAATTTTAAAAAAGAACTGTAACATTACATTCGGTAGGCCTTAACCGTAACTCTCCGCCCAAACTTATAATTGTTTTCTTGTATGAAATTACGTCCCACAGGCATAATCTGCGCAAGGAAACCACTCCATTCCACACACACTTAAAACTCTGCCCGCAGGGGGGACCATTTACATTTGAATGGTAACACACTTGAATTCACAAAAGGAGGTTTTTTCCTCTAGCTTGTGGGTCCTTTTCCCGTATCTACATGTACATTACACTGACCTTTCTTTGAACCTTTGACTTCCCAAGGGCCCCTCACCCCCCGTGCCCTACCCATGCTGGGCGCTTTGCCCCAAAAAACCCCGTCTTGCAGGAGGGCGCCCTCCGGCCACTTTTCGACCATAATTCTTCCCTGGGACGCTGTCCCGGTGTCAGGAACCTCGTTGAATATCCAGACACTCCTGACGTCCGTTTGCGGGAAAAAACCAACTTCACACACATCGGCCTCACCAGACGAAGCCTCCTGGTGAACTTCACCAACCACCTCATGCAATCCGTGTTCATTGTAGGCAGTCAAGGTCTCCCATCTTTTGGCGGAAACATTCCTATGCACCCCCTCTTGGTACTCTCAGGTGAAACGTCGGGCTATTGCTCTGGGCCCCTCCAGGAGATCGTTTAAAAACACGTTCTCAGTGCAGTAAACTTTCCTGGTGACACCCCACAGGCTCCGTTAGGCCCCCACAGGGGTTGGGCGTGGGCACGTTTGTTAGTGTCCACCGGCACAGGGTTGGCGCCGCATAGACTGCATATCCTCTTGTTGTATTCCTCACTCAAAGCTTAGGTCTTGTTTCAGGCGGAGGGACAGTCTCCAGATTCAAAGGCCTCGGTTCTTTGGACACAGGAGGTAGGTTCCCGGGAATTCGTACAACAGGGGGTCTGGAGCACTGAGCAGCCATTGCTGGTCATACGTGTTGATAACCTGCTTGTCTTACGTTGGCCCGCATAGTGAAAACAAAAATCTTGGGTTCATGTTAGTTGTCTAGATATTACGTAAGATGGAATCGGCTGTTTTTAATGTCCATCTTTTAGGGGTTGGCAGGAAGCCTTCCGGGAGCCCCTCGTAGGGGCCCCTTCCCTCCATACTCCTTGGTCGCTGGCAATGTACCGGTGCCTTATTTGCCAATAACTTTCCGAATAACATACTTCCTCCGCCTCGAAAGGCACGGTTTTCCTTCTTTGACCAGGTGACGTTTGTGGGGAGACGTCATGCAGACATTTACCTCTACGGCTTGAATTTCAAACGCCATTTTTTCTCTCTTGAAAAGCGTCCACAATCTTGGAGTAAAAAGGCCGGCATTTTGCGAATTTTTACAAAAAAACCTCGGGAACAATCCTTGGGAGAAGCCACACCATATAAATTCTCAGTGGGGGATGCCATAGACGTCCGCGGAATGATGGTAGGCTACAAGAACATGCATCGTTGCACCACTGGAGGGGAGCACGATAAAATTCAACTAGGACTGTGGTTTTCTCTTCTACCTTGGGACGAATCCGCCATCTTGCGTACTGTAGTACCAACGGTCGCACCAGGTGTAAAGCAAGGAGCGGCTTCCTGAAAGCGTCCTCTCAGCCCGCTGGGGGGGGTGAGAGGGGGGGACGAATGTAAAAGCCTTAAGGTACGCTTTGGTGCGTTGAGGGTGGCATGTGCTGCTGCTGTGTGTTGATTTTCGTGGGGACTATTATGTTGTACGAATAGTGGGTGGGGGGTATGATATGTTGGAGGTTTTAGTGAGCATTTCTTATGTGTCTATGTCAAGTAGTAGGGTATGTATTTGATTACCTTATGCATACACCAATGTTATTTAAAAAACTCTGGTAGTGTTTACTTGTGCAGGGGTCCTGCTGTATTAGTGGGCTCTTGTTTTGCCAGGGGACAGACCCACTTTGTAATTACTTGAGGATATTTGTGAAATGGGTGTATATAAATGTACTGTATCCAATGTGTTACGTTGTTGTATTCTTTTTTCTTTACTGTATAATTTTGTATGTGTGGTTGTGAATAGGGTTTGTGTGGGGACATGCAAAGGGGGGGGGGGGAATGCCAAGCGGGGGGGTTGAGGCTTTCAAACACGTTTGTTGGTGATAATTTTTAGGATAGGTGTCTTTCCTGTTGTGATAATCTTTGTGCTTTACATGCCTTTTATTGTTGTCGGCATAAGTATATGTTTGGTTGTTGATATATATTCATGTTAATTTTTCGGGTTGGAGTAGCTTCAACAGGTTTGGGGTTTTGTGATAGGATGTGGGGAGGGGGGGGGAGGGGGGGTGTACAATATTCGTGTTGTAAAGTGTGGTGTGGTAATTATTTTAGCTGAGGGAGGATTGTGGTTAATTTATAGACTTAAATGAGTTTTTAAATATTATTTTTTGTAATGTCTTGTTTTTAAATAAAATATTAAAACAAAAAAAAAAAAAAAAAAAAAAAAAAAAAAAAAAAAAACTACAGTTACGTTACAGTTTGCAATAATTCTCACTCAGCCTGTTATGATCCCCCAGTATTTTCTAACAATAATCTATAATATTAAGTCTCACCGATTGCTTAAACAACGTCTAAAAAAATTTTGTAACTGCATTTAATTAATTTTCTGCTGTAAAAAAAAAACTGTTTCTACCAGGATTTATTTATTATTGGAAAGGGAGTAAGTTATTATTAGGTACAATTACCTCTGAAGTACCTATTACACAACATTCTGAGTAGATTACAATCGTTTTACTTATAAACAGTTTGAGAAAATTACCAAAAGGGGACAACCCAAAAAAATCGAGTTTAACTTATTTCCATTGGGGTCCTTTGTAACATCTTACTTTCAGCAGAGGAGTCCAACATAATATCGGGGGGGGGGGCAGGGGGGGTAAGAAGGTGACGAGGGAGACGGGGAGGAGCACAGAGTCAGTCAGCTTGGACCTTCCGTGCTTTTCAACAACTCGTCGGTATTTATTAACCTTTTTATTTATTGTTGGGATTTTGAGTGATATGATAATAAGAGTTAATCTTAACATAAGATATATTTGGCTACGTTTTGTGGTTTTAATAAAATTATTTTTGGAATATTATCTCTAACATTTTATTATATATGGGACTTTAACCTTAACTTCAGAATTTTAGCTCTTCCCCTTTTTTCCTGAACCCCTCAAGGGAGGTTCGTTGACTTTTTTGATCTAGGGAATTGGATATTTTACTCATTCCCTGAATAGCTTAAATACTTTTTATTCCTTCCCCCCCCCCCACATGTTGTATAATCCTACGGGTTTAGCGCTTTCCTGTGATTATAATTCTTTGCTGAACTTAAAAATACAGCAGATTTCAACATGGCTGATAACTTCGATTGGAAACGGCTGCTGGGAGCTCTTTCTGGAAGAGACTGAAGCAACTTCCAATTGTTTGAAGATTCACTCGCTTTGTCCCCAAAGTGCACAGGTTAGTATTATCGATAGCAAGTTGTTGTTTACACACCCCCCCCAGCTATTCTCTTAATTCCTTCCAGCACCCATATTAGTTAATAACTTGACAATCCTCTTAGGGTATTCCTTTAAGTTACTCTTTGGCTTCTGACTGAACTTCCTTTAGTTTTATGGTGAAGCTTAAGCCCTAGCCTTGATTCATACTGGCAGGTTTTCCCCCCCCCCCCCCCCAAAAAAAAAAAAAAAAAATATTTTTGCATAACTTCAACTGTCGCTTTATGTTTACAGCTTAACCTGCCTTTATTCCACTATCCTTCATGTACTTTAAAAGGGCTAGTGTATTTAGGTCTTCTATCCTTTTAAACTCGTCCTACCCAAATTTTAATAATTTTTTATTTCGTGTCCTAAACTCTCCACTAGCGCTTCCCCCCTCTAAATTATCCCTTTAAGGAAAGTAATTCTTTTATTGGTTTAAAAAAAAACCCTATTCGATTTTCCCACCCACATCAATTAACAAATTTCCTTCAAATTTTTCCATAGACCTACAAAAGTGTAGCAGTGGGTTGCAAATGTGGCTGACAGCAGTAAAACAAACAGCCTCTAAAATATTTCCATGACAACATTGCTGCGTCCTGTAGGTGGATGGCAAGCTATAAACCATGGGCTTGCCAGGGACTAGATAAAAGTGCAAGCTTGGGGGCCCCCATTATTTTCCAAAGCCTACTACAGAGGTAACTATCTAAACTTAACTTGAAGAAAACGTATCCTTAAATGTGTTGTAAACCCCTTTATACATAACCTAATTGCTTACTTTTAGGCAATGGGAGGGCGTTAAAGGAAAGCTACTGAAGGTAGTAGCTAGAGATAAACCTGCTGAATCTATAACAGATGCTCTAGTTATCAGAGCTGAAGAAGCTGTAAGTAAATTTTCTACATTTTAAATTAATACTTTCTGCCTGGCTTTAATAAATTCTTGATTACTCTTTCAATACTGAACCTTCCTGCCCCTACATGCCTTAGACTTCACGTATTTTAGTAAACTATGCTAATCAACTAGAATGTCCAACCAGGTTATGCTGCTGAACGACTACAGTGGTGGACGTATAGCTGTGAACTTTGCTACTATTTTAGTAGACAATGCAAACACCTTCGTTGACGCTTTCCTTCCCCCAGTCGAAGGAGAATTGAAAGAATTGGGTAAGGGCTAGTAGTTCCTTCACCCCCCCCCCTTTTATATTGCGTGTGTAATATATATATTTTATATATAATATACACACACACCTGTATTATATATGTATAGGCACTCCTCGTACTAGACTGTATAGCCCTTGTGGCTTAGCGCTTTGGTTATAATCATCCTCATACTGGACTATTTCGCAGACTCTGCTGCTGAAACTTTGGTACCAAAGGCTTCAGCTCTGGCACTAAAAACTAGTCTGCGAATCTACCGCACTCTCCACACTTTCGTGCATCCTGATGCTAGCTGTATGGATTTTTCAACTATCCACCTCGTAAGTAGTTTACCTTCCTCCCCAACACCTGTCCCATAGCCACATGCTTTAAGCTCTTTAGTGTAATTTAGTCTACGTGAAGCCTCAAATGTTCGCAATTTGAATTATAATCTACTAGACTTTCCTAATTTAATATAATGCGTACATGGGGGCGCGTGCGGCCCCCCTTTTTTTTTTTTCCACTTTTGGTGTGGGCCTCAAATACTGAATTATTTTTCTAGTTAGTAGGTTCATATTTTCAATCAAAAATGCTTTAAGCACTGTAATAACCCTTAAATCTACCAATTTAAGATTAAAATTGAAATAAGCTAGTTATCTCTTTAGAGTTTCAAGGAGCTTTAATCTTTCAGATGAAGTTCTTACTTTCCTCTGCTAAACAATGGTATACAGCCGCTTTAGAACTTCCCTCTGCAGTAACTGGCAAATTCAGTCTCATTCTGGCTATCCATCCAACGGAAAGGATTACTCTTTACCTCAGTTATTTGAGTAATGCAATTCGCCCTTCATCAGCAGCTGAAATACGTACCTATGCTCACGACGTTGCTGTTAAACTTGAATCCATGTTGAAAGCTCTCGTGGTTATCATTGGAGATTGGATGAAGACTGCAATAGAGAATCAGAGGGTTAGTTGAAAATTTTTTTAGACCTGTTCCTAAAATTTCTCTAGCTTGAGTGATTACCTTCAGGGTTAAATTGGTACGAGGATTGTGAATTAACTACCTAGATTTAACATATTAGTAAATTGATTTAGATTGCTATAAAATTTTCTTTCACTTTCCAGGTTCTCGCTGAACATTCTCCTAAAAGAGTCCTAGCAGCCTCTAAAACGGAATCTCCTGAAATGGAGCTGTCGCCAATGGCCTCTGTTACAGACATTACTTCTAGTAATGGAATTAAGGAAGAACAAATGGTTGTGTAAAGCCTTTAAACTGAACCTGCAACTCCAAATATCTTCCCTTGGCATTCTTCCATGAAATTCAGACATCCCCCTCGCCAAGCCAGCTCTGCGAGACATTGCAAAAGCAGGTTTATGAAAGTCAAATTCATTTAGGCTTTCAGCTAACTATGCTAGAAAGTTTGGCTGTTCATTGGTTCTGGTAAATTACTCTACCTTTTGATAGAGAATTTATTATAAATAAATGCAGTTTACTTAGTCTTAATTCAGTATCCTAATTACCTTCCAGAAAATTTGTAGTCTGTGAAGACACTTGTAATTTCGCCTTTACTTTTTAGCTTGTGGTACTTGTAACAACTGACTGAAAAGAATTCCTAAAATGGCATTCAGGTTTAGTTAAAAATCCATTAGATGGGGGGCCCCCCCCCCATATTCCATTTCCAATGTTGCTATACCCTGGTACTACCAATATCCACCTTGTAAATTTTTCTCTTGTCCCACTTTCTTCATCCCAAAGGAACTAAATCTGTAGTCTTCAGTCGCCTCTTCGTCTGTAGAAGTGGTATGCTTCATATAGGTACCATCCTAGTTTACTGGCATGAAGGGGGCAAAGGAAACTGTTGCAGCATCAGTACTAGATTTACAATACTTCTCAACTAAATGGAGGTGCCCCAGTGTTAACATCTACAAAAAGATTGAGGGAGGCAAGTTGCCTTAGAGACCGTAAAAGGTCTCTACTTAATTTGATTAGTCTCGATGAGTAGTTATGAGCATTCTTTACCTATTTTTTTTTCTCTCCAAACCGCATAGTTAAGTCATCTTCACTGAGGATCAGGAGCAAAGGTCTCGGCTGGGTGTCTGACCTCAACGCCTGATAAAACAGTACGCAACATGCCTTGAAATAAGACTGCAAAGAACACAGGTTAAGAGGCTTTGCCCATGGAGATAGATTAACACTTACTACAAAGATAAATAGCCCCCCCCCTTCAGCCCCCCCTCCCCTGTTCTCTCCATTAAAGAAACCTTGTGGTAAAGAGGCTATTGGTCTGAGGACAAACAGCCTGTTCCTCTTCCCATCCCTCTAGTTTTCAGCCTTCAGATCCTCCCCTCGGGTATTCTGGCTCCTAGAAAAGGTAATGGGTATCTTTATCCATTCCATAGGTTTGCTGTAGAATCTGGATAATTTAGGGATACCCCCTATTTTTATTTCAGGTGACAGGTGTAACTCTGGAGACTGCCTGTCAGTTTCTGGGAGGTGGTCTCTGAAGGAGGATTCCTTGTGGCAGGTATCAGACTGCCCTCTTGTTCCCCGAGGTAGTTACTGGCATGGGTAGGGGTTTTAAGTTTCATTCCCCATCTGCACTACTGGGCCGAGATTTTCCCCCCAAAAAATTTTTGGGGGGGGGGCCCTTTTTTTTTTTAAAAAAACCCCAAAAAAAAACCCCCCCAAAAAAAAAAATTGGGGGGAAACCCCCCCCCTTTTTTTTTTAAAATTTTTTTTTCCAAAAATTTTGGGGGGGTTTTTTTTTTCCTTAAAACCCCTTTTTTGGGGGTTTAGGAGAAATTTTCCTTTTTTTCCCAAAAACCCATAAAAAAAACGGGGGAAAAAAGGGGGGTTTTTTGGGTTTTTCCCCAAAAAAAACCCCTTTCCAAAAAAAACCCCCCCCGGGGCCCCCCCCCTTTTTTTTAAAAATTTTTTTAAAAAAAAAAGGGCCCCCCCCCCCCCTTTTCCCCTTTTCCCCCCTTTTTTAAAACCTTTTTTTTTTTTTTTTTAAAAAAAACCCCTTTTTTTGGGTTTTTTCCCCTTTTTTTGGGCCCCCCTTTTTTTTTTTAAATTTAAAGGGCCCCCGTTTTGGGGGGGCCCCAATTTTTTTTGGGGGAAACCGGGCCCTTTTTTTTTTGGGGGGGTTTTTGGGGGGTTTTTTGGGGGGTTTTTTAACCCCGGTTTTTTTGGGTTTTTTTAAAAGGGGGGTTTTTTTCCCCCCTTACCCCCCTTTTTTTTTTAAAAAAAAACCCCCAAAACCCCCGGGGGGGGGGGGGTTTTTTTTTTTTTTTTTTCCCCCTTTGGGGCCCCCTTTTTTTGGCCCCCGGGGGGGGGGTTTTTTTTTTCCCATTGTTTTTTTTTCCCCCTTTCCCCCCCTTCTAATTTTTTTTGGGGGGCCCTTTTAAATTTGGGTTTTTAAATTTTTTTTCCCCCCTTTTTTTTGCCCCCCCCCCCCCCCCCCCCCCAAAAGGAACCCCCCCCCCCAAAAAAACCCCTTTAAACCTTTTTTTCCCCCCCTTTTAAAAAAAAAAACCCCCCAAAAAAAACCCAAAGGAAAAAAAATTTTTTTTTTTAAATTCCAAAAATTTATTTTCCCCCCCGGGGTTTTTTTTTAAAAATTTTTTTTGGAAAAAAAAAAAAAAGGGGGGGAAATTTTCCCCCTTTTTTTAAAAAGGGAAAACCCAAAAACCCCCCTTTTTTTTTTTTGGGGGGCCCCCAAAAAGGGCCCCAAAAAAATTTTTTTCCCCTTTTTTTAAAATTTTTTTTCCCCCAAACCCCCCTTTTTTCCTTTGAAAAAAGGGTTGGTTTTTTTTTAAAATTTTTCCTGAAATTTTTCCTGCTTGCCGATCATCGGCATTGGAACTGACGGCATCCCTATGCTCCGTATTTGTCAGCCTTTTAGTTCTCTTGTTTTTTTAAATTTTAAATCCTTTCAATTACCAAATTTTTCAGCATTTTTTATGAATCTGGTAAATTCGGGGCTGCCTTTTAAAACCCCCGCCCATTTCCCCTTGTAATTTCAAAAAATAAAAAATGGAACGTTTTTGGGAAAAAAGTTATGGGGATTTTTAAAAACTTGGGCCCTTTTCAAAAAAAGGTTTCGAAAAGGGCCCCTAAATTTACGGGTTTCTCTAAATTACGTACTTTTGTAATGCCTTTTTCTAAAATTTAAATACAATATAAATTTTTAAAAACATAGGACTACTTTGGGGGTAAAAGCTTGGCCTAAGCCCCCCCCCCCCCCAAGGGAAAGGGTTTCCTTTATGTTGGTTGGGGGGGCTCTTTTAAATTTAAGGGAATTGGAAACTGTGCTCCATTTTCCCAATTTTAAACCTGAAAGCCTTTCCCCATACCCCCCCCAGGGTCTTTATAAACCTCCGGGTTTTGCGGGTTTCCCCCTTTATTATAATAATAAATTTGGGCCCCAAAGCCCACTCCTTAGGCCTGCAAGGCAATCTGCCATTTTTTCTTCTAATCAAGTTTTTCATAGGATGGGAGGGCAGATTGTAGAGCTCTTACTGTGATCAGCCCTAATTTTATAGAAATTGGAGCATGGTGACCAGAAATATTAAGCGGCCGCTTTATATACTTGATCCCATCCATCAACGATTGCGTTTGTCTAGGTTTTCATTCCTCAACTGTCGAGAGCGTATATGCAGAGGCGTATGTTCCATCCTTGAAAGATTTTTGTGATGCGCACTGCCTCGGCTATTTTGTCCACTCTCGTGGCCCTCACGATCCGTCTACATGCAGGACTAATGGACATGATTAGAGGTTCATTTGTTCGTCACCCGTGTTTACTGTCCCTTGTCTGTCTTCACTCGCTCTTGATTACTATTGTTGCCACTTTTATATGTACTTAGAGCATTTAGCTTTTCTCTACCCCCTTGGGAGGTTCAGACACTTTTCATCCCGAATCAGGTGTGCAAAAACTCAAATGCCTACAGTGGCTTCTTGCTCTTTTCTTGACCACTTTCGGTCTAGGGCCATTGCAGTTTACAGATGGTTGTAAATGCTTTGTCAGGTTTGCAGCAGTTCCCAGACAGTGCTGTACGAGGTCATTAGATTCAGCTAGCATCTTCAGTTGAACTGCACGCAGTTATCCATATTGTCAAGGCGTACTTCATAGTTTGTGGTAATCACGGACTCCTTTAGTGCTTTGCAAGATATCAAAAAGTTCAGTTTGCTTTACCCCCTAGTACTTAGTATGTAACTTTAGTTTCGCTGCATTTCTAGCAAAAACCAAAAAAAATTACTGGTGGGTGTCTGCTAAAGATGTTCAGGGCAATGAGTAGGCAGACTGCTACCCAATCAGCGGTACACAACCTTTGTTTCATAGGTTTTTCAGTTCTCAAATTTTGCTGTAATCTGTCTCCCTTCGCAAGTGTTACAACATTGGTCTGAATTTATTCATAACATTACACTATCAAGCAGTTTATTATTCTGGTCTAATCGTTTGTGGTTAGACTACGCTTTCCGGTCTTCGCATCTCATGCACACTATTCACTTGCGGGTATCTCGTGGAAAAGCGCCCAGTTTCTTGATCCTTGTTAATACTTTGATGCGTTACTCTACAGGCAGCATCTACTCGAACAAGAGGAATACAGTATCATTTGTATCTCTCGCACTATTCCACTTGTTCAAGAAGATGCTGGCTGCACAGTAATGCAGTGATGTATGAACAAGGATCTGATGGTGTGGTACATCAGTGCACACAAGAAGTGCACTTTCATAAAAAGAACGATCAGGAAAAGGATCCGATGAACGCAGTAAAATATAGCCAGATGGGATGGATAACAGCGGAGATAATTTAGGCTCTTATAAACAGACATAAAACTGGGAAAAATTGGGAGAGAACACCTGAAGCTGACCCCTATTACCCTTGAGGCTTCGAATATTACTGTCAATACGTCATAATTTGCGAAGAGAAGTATACTGGCAATATGAAACTGTCTGTGGACTAGGAGGGTTAGGAAAGTCTACATGTGGAGGTTGCGGAAAACTAGTAAGTAGCAAAGGACTGGAATGCTACGAAAAGTGAGTCTAGGTGGTTTAGAAAATTGAGAAGAGTATTGGAGTAGGATCGATGTCAATCATTGGGTTTGTTTACTCGGTATATTAGGAGAAAACTTCAATCATTTCAGAGGACAAGGAAGTTTCAGGTAGTATTACAATCAGATAGAACGAGGAGGATGAGTAAAGAAAAAAAAAAGCGGAGAGACGATGAAAGTTACATAAGGGGAGGGGATGAGAGGGTAGAGATAACCTGGGAGAGGACAGTGAGAGGATGGAATTTGGTAGGGGACAGGAGGGGAGGGAACTACACGAAGGGGAGGGTGAACCTTCATACCGAAAACAGAAGCATTAAAAGGTAAAGTAATAGGCAAAGAGACAGGAAAAGAATGTTTGGGAAGGATAAGTGAAGGAAAAGTTAAAGAATATTTGAACTTTGAGGATGTTTTAGACATTGGAAAAGTAGAGGCGAAGGGAAGGT